GCTCTTTATAGCCCCCTAAAGGGAATTGTAGCTCTATAACAGGGGTTAAAGGTCAGAATTTATTATAAGAGTAATGCTTGAGTGGCAAAAAGGGGAATACTCTGAAAATAACTGTCACAAAAAAAAGGTAAAAGAGAATTGTATACATTATATCAACACGAAAAAAAAATATGTTAGCCACAGCCTTTTTAAAAAGACAAGAAAAAAAAACACAACTAGTTGCTATGGGAGTTGCATTGGGATGTCCATTGTTGCAATTATAATTAGGAAAATGTATTAATATTTGCCCCCTAGGTTTAATTAGATTGAAAAAGAAATGTGTTGATACCCTGGTGTCTGACCTGTGGCCCAAGGGCTGAAGGCATGCCTTTGACACTTGTTATGTAGCCCTCAAACCGCCAGAAGTTAATAGCGGAAGCATCAGCTTGTAATGGCAGCACTCCCAAGTACTGCGTCTCTGGTTGCCTCCACTTCCTTTAACAGTGGGACAACACTGTTTGCTCTGCAGTGAAATCGCATGGCAGCATTGTCATCCTGTGGACCAGCCTTTCTCAACCAGGGGTGCCTTGAGGTTTCTTCAGGGGTTCCAGGTTCCTGGTTGCTGGAAATCTTATTTTCTAAAGAGATCTGAATCCCACAGCATTACCCAGTTCACGCTCTGCCTCCAGTCCCCATAATGGGAGGCGTCACAGCATGCAATCACGGGAGCACTCTAAAAAGCCTACTGATTCTGCACAATGTAGCTAATATCAGTTCGGATTATTTCTTTTGTCTTTCTGACATGAACTAAGTTCTGACTTTCCCCAAACTGTGTTACAAGTTCATGGATTAAACCAGCCTATCTCAACCAGGGTGCCTTGAGGCTTCTTCAGGGGTGTCTTGGCAAAAAATTGCTGAAGGAATCCTTTAGCAAAAGTTGCCCACCTATATTTAGGTTTTTTCTCTCAAAACTTAGTGGGAAGATGTCTGCCCCTTAATGGGCCAGCTGCCGTGGAACCCAGAGCCCCAGCAATCCTCATACTATGGCAACTGCTTCACTCTTCTCCACAGAGCACCAGAAATGCGCATTATTACTATGTGGTGTCTGCAAGTGCTTGTGTTAGTATTGAAGCAGATCCCCATGCCCCTGTGGAGCCCACTGAGATCTTAAACCAGCCTTTCTCAACCAGGGTGCCCAGGCACCCTGGGGTGCCTTGAGATGTCTTCAGGGGTGCCTTGGCAAAATGTCTAAAAATTGCCCACAACTTGTATACAAGCCAGCGGATGGAACAAGCCGGCCTTTTAGTTACACAAAGTCACATGTTTTCATTGTGCGCCATTACGACCTTCTAGCCACCAACGTCCTGACAACCAATGACATCATCAGTTGATAAGGAGGATGTCAGCTGTCTGCACAGCAACTTAGTTTTCCCCGCCCCTCTCCATCAGTGCTGGAGTCACATTAGTGATGGAGAACAACTGAGGGAGAAGAGAAACATTGGAATATTAGTCAGTACCAGTGTGCAAAAGTGTATTTGCTTTGGAAGAATAAATCATCTCTATTGTTGGGTGTCCTACATGTGTGGATGTTGCTGTGTTGTGTTATATAAAAGTATTAGAATAGTTTTTCACATTTTAGAATGGGGTGCCTCAAGACTGTCCATCATTTTAAAGGGTGCCTTGACCGAAAAAAAGGTTGAGAAACACTGCTGTGGACTGACTGGCCTTGGAATGACAATTGGGCTTTAAATCCTCCCTCCAGCCTTCCCTCCAGTCTTGCACAATTGTACCGGCTTCTCTCCTACACTGAAATCACTTGCTCTAGTTTCACTGCACACTGTGAGCTTCTCCCATGCATTAGAACCATAATATAATCTCCTGACCGGTGGAGTAAAGCATCATCTAGCCTGTTCTTCTCCAGCCTGCCTGTTCCTGACCTGCCCCTTTTTATATATTATATTTCAGTCCTTCCAGTCAGGGAGACTCAGCATCGCATTGAGCCATTACCTAGGGCACTCCAAACTTTTTAGTGTGGCGCTACTTGATACTTTAAATAAAAGTGCTAAGGCTCTGAAGTGCTATGAAACACCTCCCTCCCTTATAAGCGCATCATTAACAAACTTAAATACATTGTATGTGCCTCCTTCTCAAAATGAATACAGTAAATGTGCAACAAACTATAGAACACCTCCCTCCGCTGACATACCATATATTCCTATGTAAAATGTATACAGAAACAAGCACTGTCCGTGATACTTTTTATATTTGCACCAACATACAATTTTGAGGACAAGCTTTCCGGGAGTGTCCCCTTCTTCAAGGTCCAAGCAGTACTTATATAAAATGTATATTATTGTTTGTGAAGTCACAGTAGCTGATCCTGAAAAAAAATGTTTTCTTATTATGCAACTGGTTTATAATGTACTAAAAAAAAAACCTCCTTCCGCAGAAACACTGCATGTGTTGCCATGTAAATTTATGCAATGATAAATGTTTGTGACATCCTCAGTTACAGTATGCAGAACCTTAAAGTGCTCTTAATATTTCAACTGATGTACAACGTACTATAAAACACCTCCCTCCACAGAAACACTACATGTGTTCCTGTGTAAAGCCTATGCAATTAGAAACATTTGTGACATCCACAGTTTGTGACTTCTTGAACAAAGTGCTTATTGTGCAGTTCAATTAAAGTGCTCTTTAAAGCGGAGCTCCACCCAAAAGGGGAAGTTCCGCTTTAAGCCTTCGTCCCCCGATCCCCATTAAGAATCCTTTAGGGGAGGGGGGGGGGCGGGTACTCGAATTTGACAAGTACCCGCTCCCTCTTCCACTGCGATCGCCTAGGCGATTGGAAGTGGAAGTTTTCCTCCCTCCTCGTAGTCTTCTAGGACACATGACAGGTCCCAGAAGACTACAGGGCCATTCACAAAGCGCAGCTCTTCTCAGGCATGCGCAGTGGGCACCCGGCCGTGAAGCCGCAAGCTGTCACAGCTGGGTGCCCACACTGAAGATGCGGCTCCAGGGAGAGAATACAGCTGGTGAAACCAGAGGTGGTGAGGACACCGCTGGATCGATGGACAGGAAAGTGTCTGTATTTTAAAAGTCAGCAGCTACAGTTTTTGTTTTTTTTTTGTTTTTTCAGTGCTGCGTTCCTCCATGTGACACTCGTGCTCCCCCCATCCCGTATGGGTCAGCACTCCCCAAAAATCCAAGACTCCCTTTTTACAGGCGAGTCATATTTGCTTGGTATAACTTCCACCTTCAGCTCCTCCACACTTCCTATCCGTATACCTCTTGGATCCCCGTATCTCCTTCCTCCTCCACTCCACCAGTTTTAATCCAAGAGAACCAAAAAGCAGAACTCCAATAGTGTAATACTGTTTATTAAAACTTCACACAAATAGCAGAATTGCACTTACATTAAAAAAAAATTTCAAACCCGCTTTACTCGTGGTTCCGGGACTCTCCTGCATTCCATGGACCAGAAGTAGGCACCTGGAAGTGACGCAAAAGGCTCCACCCAATTAGTTCCGTCAGCGTGACGTCATCAGGAGCACTCGAGCAGAGCCTTTTGCATCACCATGAGTAAAACGGGTTTGAAAATAAGTGCTGTTCTGTTTACAATTTTAGCAAGGTGCCAGTGTACGGAAATGACTAACTCCCGCACATGTGTGGGAGATGCGTCAACCCGTGCTGGCCAATTATGTCAACCAAAGCCCGGTAACTTTCTAACCTTTTTAGGGCTCATGCACACAGGCAGCAGGGGTGGGGTGGGGGGCAGAAGAAGAAGGTAGTCGAGCCGCAGTTTTATTGCCCCTGACCGCCCATCTAAACACAAAAATGCAGTTTGGTCTGTTAAAGGAAGTGGAAAAGTAATTGGCCTACTGGCTGGACCAACAGTTAATAACAATGTTACAAGGGGGGAGGGGGTGGGGTCAACTGCTGTGCTAATGCAATTGACAGATTGAATCATGTATCCATATATTTTATTTGACCCATGGTTCTGCTTTAAACACATTTTTTTTTTCCTCCTTTTCTATTTTCTTTTCCTCTCTTTTTGGAATGGCACAGAGGCTGTTGGGGAAACATGTGGCTCTCTTGTAATAAAGTATGACTCCCCGTGTCATGTTTTCCTCTCGGGCTCTTAGTCTCTGTAACGATGTAACACAAAACTGAACCGCTCGGAGGGTAATGAGCATTTGTGTCCGTTTCACAAATAAAATTCTTTGGCGTTTGATGTGCTTGTTTCCGGCAGCCAACTGCAGCAGCAGCGGGACACTAGCGAGAAAGAAGCGCGCGAGATGATGGACAAGATCAGAGATCTGCAGACCCAGAAAAAGACTCTTCTCCTCCAGAAAAATGAATTGCTGGCCGACAACAAGATGCTGGAGGCTGAGCTGGAGGCAGTACGGAAATCCAATAGGTTGGCTTTTTTTTTTTCACAGAGTATATTCAACTAGAGAGATTAGAGATTGGGGATGTACGGTCTTCTCACTTATTTATTTGTCAAAAGAGATCAGTTTGTGTATAGTTGTATCAGGATGGTGCTGAAGTATTCCAGGTATGGATACTTGATACATAATTACATTAGTCCAGCTTGGACCAGTGTGACTCTGCATAAACCATACTTGGCCTTTGCCCCTGAAAGCTGTAATTTACTAAAGTAGACACCACTCCTCCAGTGATCTTCACTTGCTTCTGGGTACTGTTTCACTTTAACCACTTCCAGTCCAGACACTTTCACTGCCTTCCAGTCCGGACACTTTCACCGCCTTCCAGTCCGGACACTTTCCCCCCCTTCCAGTCCGGACACTTTCCCCCCCTTCCAGTCCGGACACTTTCACCGCCTTCCAGTCCGGACACTTTCACCGCCTTCCAGTCCGGACACTTTCACCGCCTTCCAGTCCGGACACTTTCACCGCCTTCCAGTCCGGACACTTTCACCGCCTTCCAGTCCGGACACTTTCACCGCCTTCCAGTCCGGACACTTTCACCCCCCTTCCAGTCCAAACACTTTCCCCCCCCCCCCTTCCAGTCCGGACACTTTCCCCCCCTTCCAGTCCGGACACTTTCACCTCCTTCCAGTCCGGACACTTTCACCGCCTTCCAGTCCGGACACTTTCACCGCCTTCCAGGTGGACACTTTCACCGCCTTCCAGTCCGGACACTTTCACCGCCTTCCAGGTGGACACTTTCACCGCCTTCCAGTCCGGACACTTTCACCCCCTTCCAGTCCGGACACTTTCACCGCCTTCCAGTCCGGACACTTTCAGTCCGGACCCCCTTCCAGTCCGGACACTTTCACCGCCTTCCAGTCCGGACACTTTCACCGCCTTCCAGTCCGGACACTTTCACCCCCCTTCCAGTCCGGACACTTTCACCGCCCTTCCAGTCCGGACACTTTCACCCCCTTCCAGTCCGGACACTTTCACCCCCTTCCAGTCCGGACACTTTCACCCCCCCTTCCAGTCCGGACACTTTCACCCCTTCCAGTCCGGACACTTTCACCCCCTTCCAGTCCGGACACTTTCCCCCCCCTTCCAGTCCGGACACTTTCCCCCCCTTCCAGTCCGGACACTTTCCCCCCTTCCAGTCCGGACACTTCCCCCCCCCCCCTTCCAGTCCGGACACTTTCCCCCCCCTTCCAGTCCGGACACATTTCACCCCCCTTCCAGTCCGGACACTTTCACCGCCCCCTTCCAGTCCGGACACTTTCACCCCCTTCCAGTCCGAACACTTTCACCCCTTCCAGTCCGAACACTTTCACCCCCTTCCAGTCCGAACACTTTCACCGCCCCTTCCAGTCCGAACACTTTCACCCCCTACCAGTCCGGACACTTTCACCCCCTTCCAGTCCGGACACTTTCACCCCCCCCTTCCAGTCCGGACACTTTCACCCCCCTTCCAGTCCGGACACTTTCACCCCCTTTCAGTCCGGACTTTCACCCCCCTTCCAGTCCGGACACTTCCCCCCCCCTTCCAGTCCGGACACTTTCCCCCCCTTCCAGTCCGGATACTTTCCCCCCTTCCAGTCCGGACACTTTCCCCCCCCTTCCAGTCCGGACACTTTCCCCCCTTCCAGTCCGGACACTTTCCCCCCCTTCCAGTCCGGACACTTTCCCCCCGCCCTTCCAGTCCGGACACTTTCCCCCCCCCCCACTTTCCCCCCCCCTCCAGTCACTTTCCCCCCCTTCCAGTCCGGACACTTTCACCCCCCTTCCAGTCCGGACACTTTCACCCCCCCTTCCAGTCCGGACACTTTCCCCCCCCTTCCAGTCCGGACACTTTCCCCCCCTTCCAGTCCGGACACTTTCACCCCCCCCTTCCAGTCCGGACACTTTCATCCCCCTTCCAGTCCGGACACTTTCCCCCCCTTCCAGTCCGGACACTTTCCCCCCCCCTTCCAGTCCGGACACTTTCCCCCCCCTTCCAGTCCGGACACTTTCCCCCCCCTTCCAGTCCGGACACTTTCCCCCCCTTCCAGTCCGGACACTTTCACCCCCTTCCAGTCCGGACACTTTCACCCCCCTTCCAGTCCGGACACTTTCACCCCCCTTCCAGTCCGGACACTTTCACCCCCTTCCAGTCCGGACACTTTCACCCCCCTTCCAGTCCGGACACTTTCACCCCCTTCCAGTCCGGACACTTTCACCCCCTTTCAGTCCGGACACATTCACCCCCTTCCAGTCCGGACACTTTCACCCCCCTTCCAGTCCGGACACTTTCACCCCCTTCCAGTCCGGACACTTTCACCCCCTTCCAGTCCGGACACTTTCACCCCCTTCCAGTCCGACACTTTCCCCCCCTTCCAGTCCGGACACTTTCACCCCCTTCCAGTCCGAACACTTTCACCCCCCCTTCCAGTCCGAACACTTTCACCCCCCCTTCCAGTCCGGACACTTTCACCCCCCTTCCAGTCCGGACACTTTCACCCCCCTTCCAGTCCGGACACTTTCACCCCCTTCCAGTCCGGACACTTTCACCCCCTTCCAGTCCGGACACTTTCACCCCTTCCAGTCCGGACACTTTCACCCCCTTCCAGTCCGGACACTTTCACCCCCTTCCAGTCCGGACACTTTCACCCCTTCCAGTCCGGACACTTTCCCCCCTTCCCCTTTCCCCCCTCCGGACACTTTCCCCCCTTCCAGTCCGAATACTTTCCCCCCTTCCAGTCCGGACACTTTCCCCCCCTTCCAGTCCGGACACTTTCCCCCCTTCCAGTCCGGACACTTTCACCCCCCTTCCAGTCCGGACACTTTCACCCCCCCCCTTCCAGTCCGGACACTTTCCCCCCTTCCAGTCCGGACACTTTCACCCCCCTTCCAGTCCGGACACTTTCCCCCCCTTCCAGTCCGGACACTTTCCCCCCCCCTTCCAGTCCGGACACTTTCCCCCCCCCCCTCCAGTCCGGACACTTTCACCCCCCTTCCAGTCCGGACACTTTCACCCCCTTCCAGTCCGGACACTTTCATCCCCTTCCAGTCCGGACACTTTCCCCCCCTCCAGTCCGGACACTTTCCCCCCCTTCCAGTCCGGACACTTTCCCCCCCTTCCAGTCCGGACACTTTCCCCCCTTCCTGTCCGGACACTTTCCCCCCCCCCTTCCAGTCCGGACACTTTCCCCCCCCCCTTCCAGTCCGGACACTTTCCCCCCCTTCCAGTCCGGACACTTTCCCCCCCTCCAGTCCCCCCTTTCCAGTCCGGACACTTTTTCCCCCCCCCTCCAGTCCGGACACTTTCCCCCCCCCCCTTCCAGTCCGGACACTTTCCCCCCCCTTCCAGTCCGGACACTTTCCCCCCCCCTTCCAGTCCAGACACTTTCCCCCCCTTCCAGTCCGGACACTTTCACCCCCCTTCCAGTCCGGACACTTTCATCCCCCTTCCAGTCCGGACACTTTCACCCCCCCTTCCAGTCCGGACACTTTCCCCCCTTCCAGTCCGGACACTTTCCCCCCCTTCCAGTCCGGACACTTTCCCCCCTTCCAGTCCGGACACTTTCCCCCCCCTTCCAGTCCGGACACTTTCCCCCCCCTTCCAGTCCGGACACTTTCACCCCCCTTCCAGTCCGGACACTTTCACCGCCTTCCAGTCCGGACACTTTCACCGCCTTCCAGTCCGGACACTTTCACCCCCTTCCAGTCCGGACACTTTCCCCCCCCCTTCCTGTCCGGACACTTTCCCCCCCCTTCCTGTCCGGACACTTTCCCCCCCCCCCCATTCCAGTCCGGACACTTTCCCCCCCCCCTTCCAGTCCGGACACTTTCCCCCCCCTTCCAGTCCGGACACTTTCCCCCCCCCTTCCAGTCCGGACACTTTCCCCCCCTTCCAGTCCGGACACTTCCCCCCCCTTCCAGTCCGGACACTTTCCCCCCTTCCAGTCCGGACACTTTCCCCCCCTTCCAGTCCGGACACTTTCACCCCCCTTCCAGTCCGGACACTTTCCCCCCTTCCAGTCCGGACACTTTCCCCCCCTTCCAGTCCGGACACTTTCACCCCCTTCCAGTCCGGACACTTTCACCGCCTTCCAGTCCGGACACTTTCACCCCTCACCCCCCTTCCAGTCCGGACACTTTCACCCCTTCCAGTCCGGACACTTTCCCCCCCTTCCTGTCCGGACACTTTCCCCCCCCCCCTTCCTGTCCGGACACTTTCCCCCCCTTCCTGTCCGGACACTTTCCCCCCCCCCCCTTCCAGTCCGGACACTTTCCCCCCCTTCCAGTCCGGACACTTTCCCCCCCCTTCCAGTCCGGACACTTTCCCCCCCCTTCCAGTCCGGACACTTTCCCCCCCTTCCAGTCCGGACACTTTCATCCCCTTCCTGTCCGGACACTTTCACCGCCTTCCAGTCCGGACACTTTCACCGCCTTCCAGTCCGGACACTTTCACCGCCTTCCAGTCCGGACACTTTCACCGCCTTCCTGCCCAGGCCAATTTTCAGCTTTCAGCGCTGGCACACTTTCAATGACAATTGCGCAGTCATGCAACACTGTACCCATATGAATTATTTAGCATTTTTTTGAGACAGATAAAACTTTATTTTGGTGGTATTTATTCTCCACTTGGATTTTTATATTTTTGCTATATAAATGAAAAAGTCCAAACATTTTTTTTTTAAAAAAAGTTTTTCTTTATAAAATGTTGCAAATAAATAATCTTTCTTCATAAATCTTGGCTAAAATGTATTCATCTATCTTTTTAGTAGAAAAAAAAAATAACCCAAATTAGTTTATAACCAAGAATTAACATTTTTCAAACTTTTTTTTTTTTTACATTTTTATTTATTTTTTTATATTATCATGTTTTTTTTTTTTTTTTAACATACTGTCACCCTAGCAGTACAGTGTCACCATACTTGTGGGAGGTGATGAAGATTTTTTTTTTCTTTTTTTTACACTGATTGCTTTTACACCCATAAAGGCTGTAAAAGCAATCATTTCTCCTCTGGCTGTATTCTTTCAGCTGCTGAGAAATACTGTGAGAGCTGTGATTGGTGACAGCTTGTCACATGGTACAATGGAGAATAGCCTTGTACCATGTGATCTCTGTAATCATTCACAGATTTCACTAGTAGTAAGCAATGATGTCAGAAGTGACATCTTGTTTACTACTGTTTATGTGATCACATGATCCACTGATCATAGGTGCAATGCTTTCCAGCCTTCTGCAGGAAATAATAATAAATGCACTTTTTATCCTGCAAAAATATGTGCATTTATTATTATTATTTTTTTTTGGAAGGTGCTTTTATCCTTTAAAAGCTTTAGGCAAGACATTTCCACATATAATGTAAGTTTTATTACCGCCACCTGATATCACCTATATCTTCCTTGACAATTAGGAAGTGGGGGTACAGTATGCTTCATGCAAGTGACCAAAGCAGTTGGATTGTTTAAGGAAAACGCCACAAACTGATGATTATTCTATGTTAATCACTAAAGAAAAGTGTCTCTGTCTCTGTCATTCAGGAAGATGAAAAGGAGGGTCGGCCAACTGAGGCAGGAGTTGGAGGACTCTGTGGAGAAGGAGGTGACGGCTCACCAGTATTTGGCCAATCTCATCACCCTTGCTGAAAATATCGCTGGAGAAAGGGACCAGCTCATACACGTGGTATGTGGAAATTGTGCTTTTGTTTTACTAATTCTTCATTTTGTACTGTATATAAGCTTTTGTAGTCCTAAATCCTTTAGTGGCCAGTAAGACGCCCCCTGAGTGTACTGACTGACTTCAGTTCAAGCATCCTCCATGTGGCACATTGGTGTGCTTTGTGTATTTCTTCCAGATCTGTGCAGTAATTCCGTCTGAAACTTTACATCTGTGCAGGAGCTTCCTGTAATAAAGACCACTCACTGCTGCTCTCTGTCTGTGTGCAGGGGGACTGGTCTTGTCTCTGTTCCTTTTCTGTAGGTTTCGTGTAGGTGTAGTGGGTGGAGCCTTCCGGGTCTCTCCCACAGCTCTACTGTTTGCTCAGGCCATGTGCAGCACAGTGATGATGTCACTTCTGCCTTACAAGGTAATTACTGGATTTGCGAATGCATTTTTTGCACACAAAGTACATTTATATCCTTTGTGGGTATTGAAGAAAATATATTTAGTGCATTTTCTGTGCCAGGAGTTCAGCTTTAAGCCAGAGTGGTATTGGAATGCATACATTTTTTTTACTTCCCCTCCATTTCACCTTTTCTTGTTCACATGGAATGCTTCTGGGACATTATTTTATAGAATAGGTATACAGATCCATTGTCTGCTTCCTTGCGCTCATTCATTTTGTCTGTGGAGCCGGAAGAGGCCCTGCACGAGCTGTATCCTCGGTAAATTAAAGAACTGAACATATCTAATAGATTGTGACATCACAGATGGAAGGCAGCGACTCCCTGCCCTGAGCGGCAGCCGTCCCTGTGACATTCCGCTCGCAGAGCCTGATTTTTTCTGATGGCTGTGCCTTCACATCTATTTTAAGGTTACCTTGAAGCTAAAACATATTCCCCGTGGGAATCTTACTGACTTGAGCGGCGCACAAGTCTTTGTTAGCCTTGTATGATGAGACGAGACACTTTCCCTTCTTACCGTGTCGTCATCTGGGCCAGATGGATAGAATGAAAATTTAATTTTTTTTTCTTTTATTATTATTTTTCCTTTTTTTTTTTTTTTTTTTTTTCCGGTTTTTATTATTTTTTATTTTCTTGTACTATTTTTTTTTTTGTCCCCTTCTCCTCTACTTTCTTCTCGTTTTGTTAGTCTTTGTTGATAGTCAAATGATCTTTGACTGATCATATACTTTTTAGCTTCGCAAGTTGGGAATTGTCATTGAGAACAGAGGTCACACACAACGCAACCTTGTCAGTAGTCTGTGGCAGGTGTCTGACCAGGGGGCCCAGCTAAACTGTCATGCTCCTGAAGTAAACCAGGGGGATAGCCTGATTGGTCAAAGCTGTGCACCTGTCTGACGCTTGGCAAGGGAGGATGGACTTGTAGACAGTTCATGTTTGATGGGGCCATACCAGGACAGAAAATGCAAATGGAGAAGCTTCTCTGTGCCTATTGCAATCCTTACCAATGTCAGCCAATTGAATAAGGAAGCCCAATTATATTGATATTGTAGTTCCTGCTGCTTTGATTGAAGGCTTTCTATGACCTGAGATACACCGTATGCATTTATTGAAACCTTATGTAGATGCTTTTGGAGGATCTACATAAGGTTTCAATAAACTCCCATCTTGGGGCAAAATATGAATGCCCCCAGGCTGAACGAAAAAAATCTAAGGCAAGCCATGCCATAGATGTGATTTACTTTCCTGCAACCACGCTGGAAAGAAAATCACTCAAATTCCCCCATCAACACAGTAGGTGTTGATGGGGGAATGCCTTGCGCTGAGCTAATGTTTTCTGCCTGCAGGGAGCGTTTCCTGTCCGCAGAATACAAGGATTACTGCTAGTGGCTATAGCTGCTGACAGTAATCGCATCTAAAAACATCTGACTACTGGTTGTACTGAAGTCAAGTGATGGATTGACTTCAGTACAAGCAGCCTGCCCATAGATGGATCAAATATCGGCTGGGCCCTGCTGAACCAGCCTAGATTAGATCCATCTATGGCCAGCTTAGGAGTGTATGGCCAGTTTTACAACGCTCTTGATCACCCTCTTGCCAAGCTTAGTGTATATCATTTTTTTTTCTTTATTAGGGCAGCACAGTGGCTAAATGGTTAGCACTTCCACCTGGCAGTACTAGGGTCGTTGGTTCAATTCCCAGCGACGGCACCACCTGCCTTGAGTTTGCATGTTCTCCCTGTGCCTGCGTGGGTTTCCTCCGGGTACTCCGGTTTCCTCCCACACTTCAAAGACATGCTGGTAGGTTAATTGGCTCCTGTCTAAATTGGCCCTAGTATGTGTATGTATGAATGTGAGTTAGGGACCTTAAATTGTACGCCCCTTGAGGGTTAGGGACTGATGTGAATGTACAATATATATGTAAAGTGCTGCATAAATTGACAGTTCTATATAAGTACCTGAAATAAATAAATAATAAATTAGAGTGGCTAATTAAATGTAAAAATTGGGTCTTAAAGCGGTTGTAAAGGCTCAAGGTTTTTCACCTTCATACATTCTATGCATGAATGTAAAAAACCTTTTGTGTGCAACAGTTCCTCCAGCCCTCTTCATTACTTAACTGAACCCCATCGAGATCCAGCGATGTGCATGACAGCCTCAGCTGTTCTGAATCTCTGCTTACTCATTGGCTGAGACAGCAAACGGAGTCATTGGCTCCCACTGCTGTCAATCACAGCCAATGAGGAGAGAGAGGGGGAAGGGCCAAGCCATGGCTCAGTGCATGAATGGACACACGGAGCAGGGATGCCCCCATAGCAAGCTGCTTGCTATGTGGGCATCTGACAGAAAGGAGGAGCCAGGAGAGCCTTCGGGGACCCAAGAAGAGGAAGATCCAGGCTGCTCTGTGCAAAACCACTACATAGAGCAGGTAAGTATAACATATTTGTTATTTAAAAAAAAAATGAAACTTTTTAGTATCGCTGTAATTTACTTGTAACGTCCTTAAGATCACCAGAAACCCTTGTTATGACTAGAGGTAGTGGAAGGGTCCTGTGTGGTGCCACATGTCACTCCTGACAAAGCTCCGTGTGCCATGCAGGCCAAATATAATAGCCTGTCCATCAGAGATTTCAGGTGTGGAATGGAAGGACGGGCAAGGGAATGAATGGGCGGAGCTACAAGCAGTCTGAAGCAGATACCAAATCACGCACCATGGGCAGCAAGGATCTATTGTAAGGCAAACCTCAGTATGGTTGCTACATGACCAGTTGCTTGCTCTTGGAGCTCAGGCAACATCAACTGGTCGTGGAGAATGGAAATTGCTGCCTTCTGTTATATATCTGATACCTTTGAAGAGGTTTTATGACTCTTCTGCTGCATTACTGATGAAAGGAACAGGAAATGCTGGAAAGGCAAGGCATTGCTGATGCATTATTATGATAATTGCTCTGCCCAGAGTTTAGTATTACATATTTCTCAGATCCATTTTTGCAGAAAAGTCACAGTTCTTACTTGAAATATGCATGCATCTTAAATACTAAAAATATATAAAAATACGCTCTTGGACTATTCCATGAGTTGTTAGCATCACTGTATTATGTACAGAGAGCCTGCCAGCTACTCAACAATTAAGTTATTAGTGAATTATTTACTCCTTTCTGTAGCTTTCAAGCTATCCTGGCATTTACTCTGGAACATCAAAGCTTGCTTGTCTCTTAATGCCACTGTGTGATTTCCAAGTCATCCATGTGTGACGGAGAAGTCCTTTAAGGTGAAGATTTTGTACCTAGGCAGACATTCAAAGAGTTTTCATTTTTCTTTTTTCTTATAACCTAGTTTTTTTTAATACATCTCCATACTGTAGCTTAAAAAGGTGAACGTAAAAAGCTATTGAGGTATTATCAGAAAAAGTGTTTAAGAAGAAGATATTAAATGACATCTATCTGTAGATTTAAAATAATTTGACAAGGGATGGCGTACATGAGCGAGAGAGAGAGAAAATGCACAAGAGAGAGCAGAGAAGGGCAGAGAGAGAGCAAGAAAGAGTATGCGTGAGTGAGAGCAGGTAGGAAAGGGAAAGAAGATGCAAGAAAGAGGGAGAAGGCACAAGAGACGGGAGAGAAGTAAGAGAGAGAGAGAGAGAGAGAGCAGGCGAGGGAAGGAGAAAGTTACGAGAGAGAGAGAGCAGGTGAGGGAAGGAGAAAGTTACAAGAGAGAGAGAGAGAGCAGGTGAGGGAAGGATAAAGTTATGAGAGAGAGAGAGAGAGAGAGAGCAGGTGAGGGAAGGATAAAGTTATGAGAGAGAGAGAGCAGGTGAGGGAAGGAGAAAGTTACAAGAGAGAGAGAGAGAGAGAGCAGGTGAGGGAAGGAGAAAGTTAGGAGAGAGAGAGCAGGTGAGGGAAGGAGAAAGTTACAAGAGAGAGAGAGAGAGCAGGTGAGGGAAGGAGAAAGTTACGAGAGAGAGAGCAGGTGAGGGAAGGAGAAAGTTACGAGAGAGAGAGAGCAGGTGAGGGAAGGAGAAAGTAACGAGAGAGAGAGAGCAGGTGAGGGAAGGAGAGAGAATGAAGAG